GAAAAAGTCAAGAATTTAAGAGTGTGGTTAGCATCACGTTGATCAGTGTCATCAGAGGAAGGCTAAATTCTAAACTGTTTTCCGCTTTATTCAATTATAAACGTGTGTGTGTGTGTAATTTAATTTGTAATTTCATTGAGTTCTCTAGCATTTTATAGTGCAGTTGTATATTGAAAAGGAACGTTGATTTGATCACTATAATACGATTCAAAAATTACCCACAAAACTGTTTGACTAATGCTGCTCGCCATTTATTTTGGATACTACTAATGTTCTACTGACCAATACTACTAATTTGTGTCCGTTGTCTGATTCACTCGCCAATTTACTCTGGTTTTTTTAATTTTCTTGGGTGCTTTTTTAAAAATTTGTTTCATTATTCACTGTTCCACTCGCCAATTCTTTGAATTTTGTTTCCAGTTCGGTTTTGTTTCTTTGTTCAAATTGATTACTCCTATCGTTTCGTTCTGTTTTGTTTGATTATTATGGTGTTATTATTCAGTATGTATGGACTCGTAATAATCAGTCGTATTTCGAAGAAGTCGTACATTATTGTAATTAGATTATTGTGAATAAAATGGTTTATCTATGGGCGTCAGGTTTGCGACATATGGACCATCGAGTTTTTTGCGTTACATCTTACCGTCCGTTAGAAACTTTTTACGAAAAGGCATCCAGCCACAGAAAAGAAGTGATATGCGTTATGAAAGACGCATCAAAACTTAAAACGCTGTGAATTCCGGTGCCATTTAAGTATTTAGAACTGTGAAGTGTTGCGATGATAGAAACTATTTGAGAGCTCAAACGCTCAGAGATAAATCTGATTATGAGATTTGTCCCATCGAGAATTTATTCTCACAACAATCAATCACTGATGAGGATGAATCGACGCTATATGGGATGAGAACTACGAATGTATATGTCTAAACCGGATAATGAATGTTTTTCGAAAAAGAAATGGAAGGGAACAATTCAAACGAAGCAAAAAAATTGATCAATAACTAAGAATGGATCAGTTGAATCAATCACTTCCGATGCTTGTACTCAAAAAACATGCTGCTTTCTTGCTATGAAAGTGCTTTGACCATTCGAAGATTTTTATGCAACAACATGCTTCCTAAGCCAAAAATCTGATGAATTCACAAGAGAATCGTAATTATGTTTGTGCCATGTGATGCTTATCAGTTGTAATTTGCAACTTTACACTATAAATTTTATTTATTAACTCACAAAATTAATTCATATTTCACCAATTATACAGACACGCTGCAATTTTATACAAGCAAGTACACATTCATTAGTTCAAGAATATGCTACTCAGGTTATTGTTACTAACAATAATAATAATCACTTCACTAATGATTATAATAATAATATTAGCATAAATAGATTAGTGAAAAATAACAATTTCAACAATTTTGGTTACGAAAAAGGGAATGGGATTATGGACTGGAACTTTGCTTTTTATAACCCATCGATTTTTATTCTTGTTCGTTGCTTTGTGATCTATGAAGATACACAGAGAAACTGAAGTGAAAAAGGCTAAGTAAGGAGGATATTCAAAAAGACACGATGCTCAATACCAGCAGTGTTTTTATCACTGATGTGATCTACTCACAAAGAATGATTGGAAAGTTGTCAAACTATCCGAACAGAACTGATTAGCTACTAGGATTAAACTTTAGAAAATTGAGTTATGAGATGAAACGATGGGAGTACAATGAAATGGTTAATTAAGTGCTTGTGGTAGTTAATGATGAAAGAATCGGATCATACGTATTTCAAGAGATATTTCGCATTTCTTTTTTTCCATCCTCGTAACCAATCCAAATCAAATCGCAATGAATCATCGCTGTTGTCGAGCTCATGTCCATTTGTTCCGTTCTCCTCGTGCGTCCAGTCGTCACCTCTCATTAAGCGACATAACCTCCGCCAACGGGAGCGGGTACTATTCCGGTAGCGTATCCACCGCCAACGGGAGCGCCCATTATTCCGCCAGAATATCCACCGCCCATGGGCATGGCAACGCCGCCAACTCCACAACCACCGCCACCGACCATTGGTCCTCCACCCATTCCTCCACCCGGGATCATCACACCCTCGACGGGCGTCAGCGCCATCAGCTGACCGCGTAGAGCAGGTACCATAACACCTCCCATACCTCCCATATAACTTCCCATACCTCCCATACTAGCATAATCCCACGAACCGCAAACGCTGCACATACTCGATGCACAAGGCATGCACATTCCCATTCCCATTCCCATTGGCATCCTCGGCATGCAACAGCAACCACCACCGCCACCCGTACACGCCAAAGCTGGTGAGATTATTACTGACAACACCAGGAGATACCTCTGAAAGAAACGATCATCGATTAATTCAATTGAATGTTTTATGGAATTGATTCAGGTGTTTAACAAAACTAAATGTTGCTCGAAAGTGCTCACTTATGTTTTCCCAAACTGATTCGGATGATTTAAGGTAACTTAACGATCAACGTATGCACATTCATACTGAATTCATGGCAGTATCATTTGTCGAAATCAGTAATGTATCGTGCTTTTGACCGGCAATTGAAGTGTCTCAAGTACTAAATCCAAAGAGTGTGTTTTCAAACTATCAATGCTATAAAATTCGACTCAATTCTAAATTCATCATTTATTTGGCACTATTAAAAAAGCAAGCGTAATCGCTATGCCGCATTTGTGAAATAAGTCATGCATAAGTAGCAAACGAAATATCAGAATGAGAATAGTAAATATTGATAGTGCAACAATTACCATCTTGAAGATATCGACCGCTGATATGATGAATTGATAAAGCTAGGAGGGTGCGGGAGTGATCAATGAATGGGATTAGCACTAGTGGATGTGTGCTGTAAATGAGAAACGAACGTTGAGACGATGTGACTTTGTTTCGGATTTTAACTCATTTAAATAGTTTGTCGACTGACGACGATATAGATTTATGACTGAGCAATAAATAACATTGAGCATAACATATTCAATCGTCAGTCATTCCAAGGAAGCAGACGAAGGTCAGCTTGAATAGACTGAATACAAACAATGCAATTGCATAAAGAGCTCGGAGTGTTCAGATATAGAAAGATGTCCAAAAAATTATTCGAATTCAGCATGTATTATATGAAAAAACCATGAGTAGATCTGGATGTGTGCATAATGAGATGTTTCGAAAAAATTCAGATTTCGACGAGCTGATCAAAGAAAATGGACAGACTTGAAACAAAACATCGATGAAAACCGCTCATCTCCACAACAGCAACAACTACGCAAACAAGTTCTTCAAGATCACACCATAATCGAGCGAGCTATGCTGGCAGATGAGCATAAATGCTACTGGATTGAGTTTTTTGCGATATTTTTTTGTGGTGGTAAAAGCAAATGAAATACGAATAAATGACTTGTTTGCACGAATTTGGCGCAACTAAATTAGTATCTGAAACAAGCAGCTCTATTTGAGAACGTTGACAATTCATGAGAAGGATGCACTGATTAAGATTAATCACATTTTTTAGTCAGATTTGTTTCAGTTTTTTTTTCTGCTCAAGTGTTTCATAAATCTTTTGAAACTTTTGCACATTCCAAATGTTATTCAAAACGTGAATCTCAAGAAGGTTTGCAATCTCCCGATGAAACGCAAAATCGAGATTGAGTTTTTATGAATTTTTGATTTTTCAGTGAAAATCGCTCCGCACGAATAGATTTCTAAGCAACGAAAAGTTTCGAACAACTCAAGTAATGCGTTGTGTCGACTGAAATGCGTATGTGTTTTGGTTTATCGCTTCGTAAATCAGTGTTTGGTGTTCTGCTTTCATAATATCATGCAAAACATTCAAGTCAGTAGTAATAATAGAACATCAAAAATAGCTTTCATATGTAATAATTTGAAACAAGCTTTTAAAAGTTGAAATCCATTCAGTAGTAGTAGCCTTAGCCACATGTACTCATAGGAATCATAGATGCATAAGCAATTCTAAAAGTGCAAATGCTCGCAAAATGCACCAACTCAAATTTTGCTTCAATTTCTTTGGATTGCTAATTTAAATGCTGTTTGGTTGTTGGATTAAGGATGAAGCCAATCGGATATGTTGCTGTATTCATGTTGAATAAACTGAAATGAATGGCTGAACTTTGCGAAATGCTTTCCATCAATGATATTTTCAAATTTAATTGGTCACTACACGCCTGACATGCTTTATCTATAGTTTTGCACACTGTGCATGAAATAATCACTGATAAGTTGTTGTTAATTAGCCACGAAAAAATCTCACCACACCAAACTTAACGAGCATCATTTACATACAGTTAGAAACGATAATTTAGCATTGTATTTCTGCAATAACTAAATATTCTTCACCCATGATGGATCGACCCTTTTGAAAAGTTTGAACACTGTCGAAGATTATTGAAGCGATATGTGCCTGGAACTCGAGTGAGAATTTGAGCGTAAAGATATGAGCAGACATAAGCCTGATTTGTTCTTAAGAGATGCTCTCCCGTTATTGCTGTTCTCATTGTTGGTCTCATCATGCCACCAGTGCCAGCAACTCTCTGTTGCAGAATGTTCTTACGATCGTGGCGTGTTTCATCGCATTTGACAGTCATCTTTCAGGATGTCCGTCCGTCTACCAGTCCAGAAAATTGCAAGAAGAGAAACAAGTGCAAGGGCGAGAAGAGACCTGTTTTTTGAGAATTCGTTAAGGAAAAAAATGTGTTCTGGTTGTCGGAAACATTCGATAGATATCAGAGATTCCCGCGTTCGTTTCTTTAGATCAGAATGGAAATTTGCTAAGAATCGAAAAACGCTGCAAAAAAAAACGTTGAAAAGATACACTATACTAATGATGGAATGTCGTTTTCATGTCTTGATTCGAAGAAACAATATATACATACATTAATATTATAATTGCATGACTTAAGAGGAACTTTACTCTATCTGTTTGTTGGCTTTGTGATTAAAGACATACACGATTTTAGTTGTTTCTGTATTTTCGAAGGAACTGTTGATACGTGCGAAATTGATTAATCCAGTTCAAGATGAATTTGATTCGATTGAATTCCTTCAAGTGGATAATTAAAATGAGATTGCTTATTAAGGTGGTCACGTCACATTCCTGTCTCATTCACAATCTTGCTAATGAACAAACTCTTCATCTTCAATGAAAAAACCTTAATTGGTAACGACGAGAGACAAACAATATGCTGATGAGAAATTACGAAACTTCAAATGTGTTTTTTCGAATTTGTTTTATGATCAATTCGCCCATTGTCAAGCTGTGAACGAATGTGAACGGTTTGAATTCATGATATTTTACCCAAATTTCGTTCCCCAATCAAGTTTTTGCCAGCATCCTCGTCACACCAACAACATCAGTATTACATTTTCTTAGCAAAAATTGCCAGAGTGCTATCGCTTACGATTTCTGCGTCCACTACTTTATCGTAAACTTGAAGAATTTTTCAGTGCTTATGAAAAAGATAATAGCAATGGAACACTAGTGATGCGGTATATATTCACAAATCAAATGAAGGTTTACATGTTGTAAATTACGAAATTCAACATATTCAACTATTTGTATGCATTTAGGTATTTCAGTACACCACATGAAAGCAATCATCTTGCCAAAACATTCGGAAGAGATCGACTGTTTAAGGTGTATACACATTATGTTATGATCAGGTAGATAGATAATCTTAAGGCACTCCAAACCACAATTTGTTTCATTCACTTGATTCCATACATTCATGTAGTGCGTGCATGATGGCCGTTTGTATACAACCAGATGAAGCATAGTTTAGGTATTGGTTAGATTGAAGTATAATTTCGATCAGTCGTTCTCCTTGATCTCGTATCATTTCATACAGACAGGCGACCACTTGAACAGTCTCGAGACTCGGCACCTAAATTTCATTTACCTCTTGAGGTTTTTCCTCTTGTGACAGTAATAAAAAGACGTTTCAGTTTTATCACGATTCAAGCGTATCATCAATGAATTGAGAGTGTTATTCACCATTTTTTAATGCCTCTAGTGCCTCTGGATTCTTTTATCTTCAAAAAACTGGACATCTGTAACGTTGCGCATATTATGCCAAACACATAAAAACCTCTACGTCAAAAGATCTATTCCGCATTCGCATCGTCATATTTCTTCTTATAAGATTACGTACGATTCTGATGCAATGGTAAATAATCCTTTATAATACTCTCATTGTGTCGTTGCTTTTTTTTGGCGATTGAACGAAGCGTAGAAAAAAATGTTCGTGAAAGTATGTTCAAGCAGCAAGAAGCAACAGATTCACACAGAAAATGTAGTTCTAATCAAAGAAAATTCAGTTATAATTATAATCAAATACTTATTTCATCCACTAAAATTTGTGCATCATATATGGAATTGTCGAAAATTTGTTTGAGAACAGTTCAATTACCCTCGGGGTATTGCAACACAACTACAATTTCTGTTCATAGAAGGGAGTTTTAATTGGTTTTGTTCGTCATGAGAAGTGCATTTCTTTTTTTTTTTCAGCGGTGTTGACGATTCAATAATGATGATAATATTGATAGCAATGACCACAAACATGAAAATGAACATGAAATTGTTCTGAACTTGTTTTTGGCATCACTGAAGTATAATTTGTGGATCGACTCAAAATAGAACTATATGCAGAATGAGACAAAAGAAGGGAAATGTCTCATGAAACATTTCAAAAGAACGGTTTCAACGAGCAGAGTGTCTTTCTCTCTCATTTTCGCTCTGTTTCATGAAAAATCTGAAGGTGATATGATAAGAAAAGATATTAGACGAGATTAGAAATCCTATTGAAAGTGATTAAAATGCAATTGAATTTGGAATTATCAACGAAAGTTTTTCGCCAGTGGATAGGAATATTGAGGAATGAGTAGATGATCTGCGATGGCAATTTCGCACATTTCTTCAACAATCATAAATGGCGGAGTTAGTTGGATTTGATGAGGCGCATACACTTCGAGCAATTATTTGATAACAAGCATTCGATATTTGGACGCTGCTGTACGATTCTCACGACAACAATCTGTCACTTGGATTTTGCGATGAGGTTGATTGGCAAAGTTTGTTTCACGCAGAGAACATTTCACTGTCGAGAACCGACGACTGATGTGATGCTCATGTGTCGTGACGAATGTCATACACGAACTGAAGTTTGGCGTGGAACGGATCATGAGCAAATCCGACATATTCCCAGAGATCAACTGATTTTTTCTCCGCGTATACCTCACCACAGTCCTATTGGCCTAGCCACCAATTGATTGTGACGAGGAGCAAAGGAGCTGAAAATATTTATTCCGAAATGAGAATCAAAGGAAAGGGATGAGGTTAATAGCGACCAAGTAAACGAATTGCAATAGCAGCAATTCTTGCTGATTGTTTATTAATTATATTATATCACTATGCTTACTGGAATGTATTTTTAAAAGTAATAGTGATGTGCTTTTTATAGCAATAATGATGGAACAATTTCCGGGAATGGAGTGGACAATTAAAGTTCAAATTAACAATAGGCTAAAGCAACTTATAGGAAAGGACTTTGCCGTGAACAATGCTGATAAATGAGCTATCATAGCCTGAATAGTAGTATAGGCATAAGTAACAATATTAATGATTTGCGAGCAGCTTGGAAAATGAAAGTTGATTCCAAACATAAGTAAATTTATGAGCCTAGCAATAGCTGCAAACATGTTTCATTGCTTCTGATTTCAGGCTCGAAGCTCGTGACAATTCGTTTTC